TGGAAAAGAAGCTGATTTACACTGCAATTACAATTACATACATGATGCTATGAAATTAATGTTTTATATATATTTTTTTCACTATTGAAATATTAAATTATTTTTAATTTAAATATTTTAAATGATTTATAATGAGTTATGTCATTTAATCAACAAAATTTCTATGGACACTGCAGCGGTCATATAACATCACACTCTGCAGCACTATTTTAAAAACATAATTCAACATATAATACATCGAAAATATGCAATCATCTTCACTTTACTGCAACGCTGCAATCAATTTAAAGTTTGAGTCCTTTTTATTCATCTAAGAGCTTGCACAGTATTGAACTGCTGTATAAAATCAATATCACATTTGCAATTGTGCTGATGTTAGGGAAAAACAGCACTCTTGCTCATTTGATACTGCTTAACTGTATCATATAGAAATATAAGACATTGTAGGGGGGCATTTCTGCCCCATATATTGAATTATGGGGTCATTCTAGGCTTCAAGGGTTTACAGGGCTGTAACCCGGTGTCCTGGCCAAATTCCCTTCATTGACCCTTACCAATCACGGCCTCCTAATAATCCCCATCCACTGACATGGCTCGATCACTCTCTCTCCTCTCCACCTATAGCTGGTCTGTGGTGAGAGTACCTGGTGCCGTTGTACTGTGGTTGCCATCGCATCATCCAAGTGGATGCTGCACACTGGTGCTGGTTGAGGAGAGATCCCCTGATATGATTGTAAAGCGCTTTGGGTGTACAGTAGTACATATGAAAGCGCTATATAAATGCCTCATTCATTCATTCATTCATTCATACATACATCATGAAGTGAAAGCTAGCACTGAACAAGCTGATCAAGGTCTTCATGATTACTAGTAAGATACAGGCAGGTGAGTTTGATCAAGGTTGGAGCTAATCTCTGCAGGAAAGTGGATGTCGAGGGCCAGAGTTGAGAACCCCTGTGAATGTAGTCGATACATATTGCACATGCAATTAAGGGCCTCTCAGAGTTCAGATCACCGCAAGCCCTGGTACAAACCATAGGTCCTAAGTCTCTGTTTTGGCCAGGGCACACTTGTAAGTGCGGATGGTGAGGTCAGCAGTCTTTATCCTATTTAACATCTTTTTGAGGTGTCCAAGATGTTCTTCCCAGCTGTAGTGATTCTCACACAAGGCACCAAATTAATGTAGTGAGTTTTGGTCATATGTCACTCAAATTGAATGTGAGAGTGTCTGATGACTCATTCCCCCCTTTGATTTCACACTAACAGTAAAGAAGAGGAATGTTGAATAAATAAAATATGTAGAAAAATGTAAAATGGAGTGAATTTGTGAGATATTGGATAACTTATATAGCCTCTTCCTGTACTATCAAATGAGAGACAAGTGCAATAAATGAATTATATTAAGAAAAAGACTCTGGCTGCAGTCTGGACCGGGGGTAGACACTCTCCAGACACCTAATGATGGCCTCTCCCCATCCTAGTCCTGTGGTGTCTGGGAGGGCTACAGGACGGTGGTAGTTGGCACCGATCCAGAATAGGGATTTGAGGGTCTCATCATCAAAAGGAGCCATGACAGCAAGACGGTAGAACTCTGTATTCTGTAACGCTGATATCCACAGAAGACGAAGATGAAGATAAATCCAAGGTTTATTAAACAAGTTCTAACAAAAGAGGCAACAATGCGAGACAGTGTGCAACACACAAACAATACTGGACAAAGAAGTGAACACAAGGAGGAACTTAAATACACAGCGATGATGAGGTGGAGGTGCAGGTGATCATGTGATGGCTGATTGAGTGCAGGTGGGAACCATTAGGAATGCTGGGAAATGCAGTGCCATTGAGGTGTGTGACAATATGATGCCTTTAAATGTTTTCCTTTTCCTTTAGTGTGTAATTTATCTGTTTGTGCATGTATGAGATCTGCAAAGTAACAAAGCTCTTTCTATCTACCAGAGAACACTGATCCAGACCTGCCTAAAACCCCTCGATCCAAGTCCAGACATTACTTCCTCAAACATCTACATCACAATGTGAAATATTAGCATAAGGCCCAGGCATACGCAAGGTAGAACGCAAGGTTTCAGTGAATTGAAGTGTTGTCGTCATGACGCGGAGACACTGTGTGTTTGGATGTGAAAGCAAAAGAAAAAAATATATATATTTATAAAGCTGTTCCTGAGAAGTACAACTCAAAAGTTGGTTCTGATCGATCAGCTTGATCATTCGCATTTTCAGAATCCAGGGGCCTCATTTATAACCGTTGCGTACGCACAAAACAGGCCCTGAGAGAGGCGTACGCCACTTCTGACGCATAAGTTGTGATTTATAAAAACAAACTTGATGGGAAAATATGCGCACCTGCACGCAAACTCTGACCCATGCGTACGAACGTTTTGGAGATGGAGCAGTTTGGCGACACCGATGGTATGCTTGAGTTAAATGTCTTTTTGGTCACTTTTAGACCGAAAATAAAAAATTAAACCGAAAAATAGAGTGCATGTTTACAATAACAGTTTAAATAAATAAAATAATGATTTAAACTATGTTTTACTTCTGATATAAACATTTAGATTAAATATGCCATACTCATTAATGGAGTTAAACACTTAAACTAGCTACATGAAATCATTACTGAGAAGTAAAAAAAGAAAAAAGTATATTCAATAAATAGAAATAGACCTATTTGTTGTGGATGCAATGCTTTTGAACACTTTTCCTCTGTCATGCTGTGTTTTAATGTTTTAACAGATAGCTAATAGCAGATTTTCTGGGAAAATTGTTTAGTGCAAATAATGCACAACAATGTCTATCTGTTTCTATTAAAAATACTATTTGGCCAGTGGAAAAGACTGAGAAAAACTTTCTCTGAAATGTATTTTACACTATTTGATTTATTTATTCAAAAACAAGGCAAGGATATAGGCTACTAAAAAAAATGTTGAATGTAATAATGTGACGGCACATCCGTATTTCATATTTTACTAACGTCTTGTACCGTTAAACATGGTATCACTTGGATGAATAATCGCAAATGACATGCAGATGAGGATATGCATAGTAAAACTAGGCGTTGTAAGCTCCATATATGGTTGTTTCGGGGTGGAGACGCATGTGCGCACAATCTTCCGCTGACTGGGATTTATAAAGTGAATTTTGCGCAGGTTCTGCCGTACGAACGGTTTTATAAGTCTGAATATTTTTTTGCGTACGCCATTTTTGGCTTTCGGGCGCACGTTCACTTTTAGTAAGTATCCTACGCACAGTTTTATAAATGAGGCCCCAGGGCTCCAGACTAACTTTTTCGACTAGGAGCACTGTAGCCCCTTACTGAAACATTTAGGAGCGCAAGCAGAATATTTAGGGGCTCACTTTAAATCAACCTGCTATTCACATTTCCCTGCATTTCTACTGAATTACTGACAAATGCCTTGGTAATAAACGTAGCAAAGAAATTGCAATGTGCAGTTTAATTTAAGTTCACAGGGCCTCTGATTTGGTAGCACTGAGGGGCTGACAATAAAGCACTGAGCTTGCGTTGAGATGTAGATAAAATTACCTTTAATTATCATCATTCATAATGTCTAAATATTCATTCAAAAGCAAAATGTTAAAACAAATATATATATATAAGGGAGTGGAAATAGCTAATAGCTCTGCTGCCGCCTACCGGTTACAACTGTAATTTAATGTCTGTTTTATTTTTAGAGTCCGCCTGTGGTGAAAGTTAAGTTTTTAATGTTGTTTATATGTCTATGTGGTGTTTTTAATAAGCTTTAAGACAAATCATGTGTAAATTCATAAGTCAAAACTGTTGCTGAATATTTTCTCCTTAAAACTGCAGTGAACCAAAGACAGTCTCAAAAACACAGAAATCGCTGGTGTTTCTGATGTCACAAACTACCTTGTAACCAATCAGATCAACGTGTGACCGTCAACAACAGCAATGTTATTAATTCTGTGGCAAATTCAATGGGTTTCTTCACTGGATCTCCCAGGGCTGTGTAGTAACGGCTGACCTATTTTTGGTCCGAACTGATATATGGCCCATGCAGCACAAGTGAGTAGCAAAGTTTCATTACGCTTTCATTTCATTTGCCATTTGATGTCAAGCAACGCTGTGGTCACGCTAGCGCGAGCTCTAACATAGTTTTAGTCACACCGGCAGGAAAAATGGTCTCAGTTTGGAGGCCTAGAATCCGAATGATACGGTAAATCCGACAACATTAATAACTGTGTGGTTAAAAATGCTTAAGAAGTCTTGGAAGCTGAAGCTCGCAATATGGTTACATTTCCCACACATGATTGAGGTGTTTGGCCAATCACAACACACTGGGTCAGCTGGCCAATCAGAGCACTCTGAACTTTTCAGAAGGATGGGGCTTTGTAGAAAGCGTGTTTCAGACAGACTGGGAAAAGAGGAGCTGCAATAATGTACAGTATGTGAAAAACGTTTTTTGAACATTAAAGCATGTTAATCTATTCTATTACACCCAATCAGACTAAACATTAAAAATGTTTGAGCAGATTTAGCAGCAAACCAATTCCTCGCGTCAGGATTGTGCACCTGCACTGTTTACATACAGTAGTTCCTTGCATTGCCCGATTAACAGAATTTTCAACTTCTTCACTTGGTACCACATATGAAAAAAGTCTATCTATTATCACAATATCCGGAGCAAAGCTCTCTTACATAAATATTGCATTAATATTCAAACTTAAGTTTTCTAATACATGGATTTATTTGCATTCTATAATATTTATCACAATACAAACTGAAATTAACATTTAATAATTTGCTTAACACACATTTCAGCAGACTACTTGATTGTAATATTAACAATGCTACATCAGTTAATTCTTACAGCTAATATTTATCACAAGTAATTATACATAACTCTCTTTGAGCTAATTGGTGCATAATCAATGATTTTGTGAGCCAAGGCAGACATAAACATTCATAATTGTCCAGTTCTGTGTGCGGTGAAAGTGAGACTTACGGCAACCCTTCTCGTCACTCTTGTCGACGCAGTCTGGAAAGCCGTCACACTGCCAAACTCCAGGAATACATTCGCCATCCCCACACATAAAGTTTCCTGGAATGTTGCACTCTGTCGTGAAGTTATTTCCAGGAAGAAGCTGGCAATCTGAAGAAAAGAGACGATTGTATTTACAATCTTTATATTGAAGATTAAATGACTGGTGAAACGAATTCTAGAAACTAGATTCCAGACACAGGCATCAGTTGTGTAATGCTAAATGAATGCATGGGAATGTAATGTGCTGTAGCATAGTGGTGTGTGCAAAACGAAACAACCAAACGAATCACAAAAGTAAACTTATCAAATAGGCCCCCCCGTCTGCCATCGGTCTTGCTTCTTTTAAAGGCCCGAAGGGAAGTAACAGACTGATCTCATGAAATGGCGTATGTATGACACGCCAATTCCTATTTCCATTTTTGGCGTGCTATCAACACGCATAATCGCTTTTCAGCGTGTTTATGAACGCCGTTGACTTAACATTACATTACTGTATATATAAATATATGACCTACCCCAACCCCGTCCCTAAACCTACCCGTCACTGGGGTTAATACCATTTATGAGTCTTCTCCTACCATCCTAGGGGAAAAAAAATATCGCTCCCCAGATGTAGATCTACATTTTGCTTCGTTTCGCTCGGACATTTAACGGCGTGTACATACACGCGGAATCACTTGGAGATTTAACGGCGTAGACATACACGCAAAAGATGACGGTTCGTTTCGGCGTGGACATATATATATATATATATATAGCTCAAAATGCGTATAGATAACACGCCACTTGACTTGAAAGTGGCGTGTATGTTTATGCAAAGTCATGATGCCATGTTGGAAGTAAGCAGCATGTGTCGTCGATGTAATCCAGCTAGCACTGCGGAAAACCCCACATGGGTCGTCACAGTCATTCACACATATTACTTACTTATTCAGTGATCTATTTATGTATTTCAGGTTGTTGTTATCTCATGGTACAGAAAAGGGTGAAGTGTTTAAATTTGAATGGTGGCAAAAGCCAAGGCATTCTCTCTCTCTCTCTCTCTCTCTGATTCGCTCTCTTGAACTTGGATTGGATTGGCGGTATTGTTCTGTTCTGGGCAAGAACTCCCTGTGCATCCATGCAGCCTAGCTTGGATAAGAGCAGGGAGAGCAGTGGTAGGGAACATAACAGAACCAACGTAAATGTATTGCAGGTATCATTAATTTTAATATTTTAATGTACAACATAATTTGAGAAACAAGTTTGATCCAAAGGGGAATCAGAATGCCAAATCCTGACTGAGACAGGAGGAGCTGGGGAGGGGGAGGGTAATGCGCTCCTGAGAAACTGATAGAATGGTTAATACATCTTGATGTTAGCGGCATATGTTGAGCACTATAGATCCAATCTTATGGGTGAAGCATCACTCCAACCTGGGTGCAAAATCTGATACAACAAGCATGTTGTATAATCACAGACTAGTACTAAAACTAGTGTAGTCCAGTCGGGGAAGCATACACCCTGTAGCTCTGAGTCAGATGCAGTGCGCAGATAAGCTATGAATACAGTGTGCTTCCTCATTCATGAACATGATTTCTGCTCCGTCGTACTGTCATCGCTGTGGAGACTCCCATGATTCCACACTCCTTCACGGGATCATCAAGCTACGATGTTGTTAGTGTTGAATAACAGACCTCTGCAGTGAAACGTAGCCTACTGTGTATTTAAGCACAAGCATGTTACTGATACTCTAGATAAGCTTTAAGACTCAAATATGTTGCTAACTTCAACACAGAATGTTCCAACATAATCGGATAGCATAAAGAGCATAAAGTTTTAAACATCAGCTTTAAGATAAGCGTCGCTGGTACCCGAATAAACTAGTTCTAGCATAAACTAGTATAATATGAAGTATAATAGTATAACATAACAAGCATATTTGATAACAGTTGCTAGATACAACTAGATAGCCTTAAGAAAAAGCATGTTTCCAATAGCAAATAAAGCTTTTAGAACAAGCATGTTTCCAATAACCACTAGATGGAACAAGCGTGTCTGATACCCCAACAGAATCAACACTGAACTGACTCGACTGAATAGCGACTGTTTACTATGTCTCTTTAGAGCTGCGCCACAGCAGAAATGATTTCATTTGCACCATGAACGTTATTTCCTTTCTATCACTGGAAGCTGCTTGAATATGTGCCTCATGTGCTATATAAATAAAGGCGACCTGACTCAACCTGATAAGTTAAAGCAGGGGTCTCAAACTCGCGGCCCGCGGGCCGCCCCCTACTTGACATTAAAGTTTAATGTTAGTGCGGCCCGTCGTTGCGTGTGCCGCGTAAAAAAAAAATAAAAAAAAAATGTATCCCTTATGAGCTACCATAGATAGTCTCGTGACAGCTTACGGAGGGTTTGTTGTCAATAGTTGTCATAGACAACCGCGAAGTACAAACATACTGCGCCTGGAAAAAACGAGCGCGTCGCTTCAATTATGAGCGCGCTTGCCGCGGGCCTACATTTGAAATTACGAACTTGAGCGCGCAAAATATGTGAGCGCGATATGTGAACGGCCCCTTGGCGAGCTGCCACCAATCAGGCCACGAGCTACTGGCAGCTCGCGAGCGACGTGTTGGAGAGAGACACTGCTCTAAAACAATGTGAGAATAATCACTTTGAGCTTGTAATATGTGTCCAACAGGTTGATAAGAAGGTTTGCTTTGATTTGTGCAGTCAGTAATTTGAGACACTATACAAAGAATTCAATAAGACGGGCAGACATGACTGCAAATATTTGTATTTCAAAAGCAATAATTGTTTTTCTAAGTATAATAAAAGGAAATGTGCCTTCCAAAAAAAACATTCAATATCATTAATGTGTTGTATAAAGAAAATAAAAAGGACATAAGCAAATGTAAATATCACAAATATGTGTTATAGACAAAGAAAGTTTGTAAAATGAACTTCAACTGTCAGAAGGACAGCTCATGAAGAACCAATCATGTACAGAAAGGAATGTTCAAATTCAGAGGAACAGTTCAGAAGAAACGTTAATAATAAATATTGAGAAGATTGGATCAGTTGTGCTCCTTTTTTGGAATACTTGAATACTATTTTTTTGTGGAATACTTGATGCGGCCCAGCCTGACCCCGACTCTACCTCCAGCGGCCCCCAGTTAATTTGAGTTTGAGACCCCTGAGTTAAAGGGTTAGTTCACCCAAAGATGAAAGCAGATGGGTCTCGATTTAGTGTGTAAAATGGTTCTAAACTGTGAATTTCCTGGATGTCCGAATCGTGAGAAACCAACGAGAAAATGTAAAAGTGCCTTACCAATGCCGCAAAATGAATGGCTTACCTTTCACACTTTCCCATCAAATGATCGTGAGCGTCATCTTCTCAGTTCTCGCCAGCTCTGCGATTTCATCAAAAATATCTTAATTTGTGTTCCGAAGATGAATAAAAGTCTTACGGGGTTGGAACAACATGAGGGTGAGTAATTACTGACAGAATTGACGTTTTTGGGTGAACTATCCCTTTAAAGACCCACTCCGATGAAAATAATGTTTTTCTAGGTGTTAACATGTTCTTGTGGCATTTTTCTGATGTTAGAGGACATACCTTGAGAAAAATAAGCTCAAAGTTGTATTTCTGAGTATTTCTACATTCAAATGGCTGTGAATCAGTAGCAGACGCTAAAATGCCGGCTAAAATCGACTGGAGTTGTGACGTAGTAACTCCACTGGGCGTCTCCACACGCGACGTCTTAGAGTGAAATAATGATCGGTGATCGGTGATAACTTTGATTAACTTCGGATAATAATAATTAACGTGTATATAATACTGTTGCCCCACCGGTATTGGGGATGTAAGCTAGCGGGAGAGACAGAGCTCTCAGCAACGGGCAGGGGGAGGGGCGTCTCCATGCCAACGGCTCCGCCCACAACGCAGAGGCGAATTGCTAATGAGCTACTGCCGCTCTGCTGAAGCGAAGTCCCAGAAAACGGCACAGGTTTTGTGATTTTGGCTAAAAATGGCATAATCATAATTTAAAGACCACTGGTAATGTTTAAAAATAGCTCAAAATATGATCGGAGTGGGACTTTAAGGCACAGTATGTTGCAGCGACAAGCAAGTTGCCAATGACAACAGATAAAGCCTGTTTTATGCTTCTGCGTCGAATCGACGGCGTACCCCCGCAGACCCCCCTTGTGTCGCCACGAACCCCTCTCCGACCCCTCCGCCGTAGCTCGACGTGCACCTCCAAAAAATTGTAACTACGTGTCGAGGTGACGCAGACCGCAAGGGCTGTGATTGGTCAGATTAAACATCATTTCTGGAGTGTAGTTTTTTTCCGGTTTCCCCCTCCTGCTGTACCGCCATTTTTAAAGTGACCACTGCACTGTTTGTTTCAACGATGGATCAAGTTGAGGAACGTTTGATTCTTCTGCGATTAAACATTTGCAATAAAATTATTTGTTGTTCAACGTCGATTAGCTCCAGCTGCAACAACATTCTCTCTCTTTCGCTTGCCATTGTCGGAAATGAAAAAGTGGAACCAGGCGCACGGAACCAAAACAAATTAGCAAAGAGATTCGCGAACCACACACCCCCCTAGCGTTCTGGCGGTGAAATGCACCGCGATGCAAGGCAACCTGACGCTGAACCATAAAACGGCCACGACGCCGTAGGAGTGACGGTGTAGCTACGCCGTGGAGTTGACTCAGAAGCATAATGAGGCCTTAAAGGGATACTCCACTCTTTTTGGAAATAGGCTCATTTTACAACTCCTCCAGAGTTAAACTGTTCAGTTTTACCATTTTTGAATCCATTCAGCCGATCTCCGGTTCTGGCGGTACCACTTTTAGCATAGCTTAGCATACATCATTGAAGTGGACAAGACCATTAGCATTTCTAAAAAAAAAATGACCAAAGAGTTTCGATATTTTTCCTATTTAAAAGGAAAAATATCGAAGCGCCTGAAAATAGGCCACCTTCCGTCAACACAACGGAACTATTTTCAGGCGCTGCGTCATATCAATACGCCTGCTGCTCTCACGGTACGGCAGTGAAGTTTCTTGATTATTACGCAGGAATGAGAGCATAGTTCCTAGCCATATCAGCC